GTGTAATTGTAATATGCAATCGTTGCATACACCTATTAATTGCCACAGGTAAATAGCCTCCTACTAGTTTGCATTTAATTCACATAAATCAATAAACATTGTTGATTTTATCCCGAGACATTTGCAGTGAAAGAGTATGGAATATCCTTGTAACTTAACACCCTGCCAGCATCGCTCGCTCACGAAATCCGAGTTAGAAAGTTAAGAGTTCGTGATGACACAGCTTTGGAGTCGTTTTGAATATTCAAATTAGACCGGTCGCACGATGCACGCAGCAATTAGGTATTTTGTAAATTTAAAAAGAAAATCAAAACGACAAAATGAAATAAGTTTATGTTAATTTCTACTCAAATTTCATGTCGTATTTTAATTATTAAAACGTTACCCGCTTTCCATCAGGCTTATTAATTTGAAACGTGAAATAAGATACAAATCGTTTATGTTATAAAAAGAAATTAGTAAGTTTGTTTTGTTTTAGTAAAAATGTTAAGAACAATTTCAAATTTTCATTGAAACGAGCAATATTTTTTTGAAATGCAATAACAAAAACTTTAAAACAGTAATGAATTGTTTTAAAGTACTTAGAAAATAAGACGGATGTGTTTTGATGTTCTACTATTTAACCATTTAAATATATGATGATTAACTCAATACCAAATCGGCTTTCTTTTCGATTTTGATCAGTGAATGAAACATTAGGACATGACTACTGGCTCCTGGATCTGCATAATTTATGAGAGATCTTAACTATATGTAAATAGTACCTTAGTGGGACTACGAACGAAATGTTAAGGCCTAAACAACCGCATATCGAAGCAGAATGAAATATGATGAAATATCGACTTCGAAGGGCTTATAATGTTTTCGTTTTAATTTAGTTTTCAATTTGTATGAGATTTCATGGCGTTACTTATCATTCGGTAGGGCCTTAAATAAAGGGGAAAATTTACAAAACCGTCGTAAGACCTGTCATGATGTATGGATCTGAATGTTGGGCAGTGAAAGGGACGGATGAAAGGGGAATACATGTAGCGGAAATGCGAATGTTAAGATGGATGTGTGGGGTAACACGATTGGATAAGATACGAAATGAGTATATTAGAGGAAGTTCGAGAGTAGCCCCAGTGGTTGAGAAAATAAGGAGTAAAAGGTTAGAGTGGTATGGGCATGTTATGAGAAGGAATGAATCGCATGTGACAAGAAGGATGTTAGTTATGAATGTGGAGGGGTACATCGGTAGAGGTAGACCTAGAAAGAGATGGATGGATTGCGTGAAAGGTGACATGATCATGAAGGGAGTGATGACTGAGATGACGGATGATAGAATGCTTTGGAGGACGAAAACCCGGTGCGCCGACCCTACGGGAGTAGGATATGGCAGGGGAGATGACTTATCATTCGGTAGGGGCATACACAAATACGATTACGTTACGAAGACATTCTCACGAATATTCATGATAAGGCCTCTGTTCGTACGCGTGATATCCACAGATTAAAAATTTAATTTGATTAAACGCTTCTGCCAGTTAAACAAAATATTAACATTAAGTCGACATTTTTAATCTGTCATTATCGATTTCTAGTGTTTGTTATCTGTTAATTTGAATAATATTTACGGAAGTGAGCGTCCGTTAACTGCATAAGTTGACAGTGTTTAATGAGGAAGTGTTATGTGAAGACAAATGAAGACATGGCCTGGTTTAAACAAAATGTCTGTACAACTAAACAAATTTATCACAATCGGTGGGTATACATCACATAAAATTTAATAATTTAAGGGCCTGTCCCACCAAATTGTGAATTGTATAATAGCAATACTAATTGTAAAATATGTGATGCATATATCGGATTTTGTTACCTTATCATTTAACAACCAGTGGTGGGACAGGCCCTTAGTGTGATTAAGTGCTTCTGCACACTACGGACTTTTATTCCGTCGATAGTTTAGGCAGGCGCTTGATTAGTATCAACATGGTTTGACAACCCGAACCGATCAAAATATCGGCTAATAAATTCTCTAGTCTGCACGGTCTCTAATAATCCTCATCTGTCAATATCCAGTTCACTTGGTATAGCGGAATTCTATCGCTCATTCTACAATAAGCCAATCCAAAATCACACAGTCAAATGTAATATCTAACGTCGTTAAAAAGATACGTATGTATATATGGACCTACAACTTGATAATGCATTCTTCATAATTGTTCATGAGAACAGTGTCGGTACGTTTTTGTTCGGTTTGATTGCGAGCAGAGCTGATGTTTTAATAATTGCGTTTGTACTGCCAGTGACCGAGTATTTATGAGTACAGTCTAAGAATTAAATTCGCTACCCACTTAATGCCCAGCAATGCCAACATGAAACTTATGACTTCCTCAATTGCATTATAAGCGTCGAACTGTCGAAATGGGTAGGATATTAATGTCCTCTACTATGTTACCATTAAGTTCGCATTTACTGGAGAATGACTAAAAAAATCGCCGTTAAAATTCTACGCCTTTACGAGCCTATTTTATTTCGCAATGTCGTACATATGTATATGGGTGTTTTAAAATTCTAATTGACTTTATTACGTTTTTTAATGGGCGAAATCAAATTAGATAATCTATACTATTATAATAAAGCGTAAACACACACTTCTTTGTTGCCTAAGATGTCAGTTATTACAGCATATTTTTGAATAATTCCTTTTTTAATAAAATGCCCTACACTTACGTCACGCTTTAGGCTATATATTTTCACGTTATTAAACTTAGGGGAAATATTTTGGATAAAAACCCTAAAGTGGGAAAGAGACCATAAGTTGCTGCCAACATCAAGGAACAAAATTGCCATGCTTTGTCATCATGTCATGTCATTTTGACATTTGATGAAATCGCACGGGAACAGCTAGTTAGATAATAAACAAAGATGGCAGATAGCAGATACGTTGAAAGAAAATTTGAATAGTGTTTGTTTTCAAATGTTTATGCCATACCATAACTGTTATGTAATAAATTTTAACGAATTTGTTGGGTATTAATATAGTATTCTCTATACATAAATTACTTGTTTTCTAAGAGAAATTATAATACATGCTCGGAATCCTTTGAATAAAGAATTTCGTTTCTCAAAAAACAACGTTATGTTGTTTATTACAAGGAAACTATTTTACATAAACTACAGAGACTAATTTAAATAAAATTACGTAGACAGAATAGAAAGAAACTTCTGGTTATCTTATTATACTTGAACTTTGATAGCTTACTTAATGAGCATTTTCTCAAATTTTGAAATAATAATATTTAAGGATTAACTGGACTATTTACTTTGATAACTATAAAAGTATCAAAAACCGTATCTCGGACATCTAAGGACCATAATCAGGGATCGATTGTCCATCGTGTTGCGGTGCAGTGCGACATTTGGTTGTCAGTAATGGCCGGGCGGTGGGCACGAAGGCGAGATCCGACGACGTTCCGGAAAATTATCAGAGCGTCCCGCGGCGCCTAATGACAGGCGACGTGATCGAGCGCCCACAAGATCAAACGGATAACTCGGTATTACTTTCTACCGACATTGCACCAACGTTGTTTTATAATTTTGTCATTTGAATAAACTGAAAGAACGATAGTTTATGATAAGTCTAGCTGTTCCCGTGCGGCTTCATCTGCATGAAATTATAAAAACTTTATTTTATTGTTTATGTTTGTCAAATTCTCACTTGCAAATGTCAAAATTACCGTTACTATAATAATCTTCCTTTCTTGTTGTTGGCAGCTTGTAGTATATGGTCCTTTTCCCACATGAAGTTTTTTTTCTAATTTATTTAACCCCTGAGTTTTATAGCATGAAAATACACATATAGCCTAAAGCGTGTCG